TGAGCCGCTGATGACAGCTATTAATTTAAAGGGGACAGTCTGCTGAACAGTTATACTATAAGCTGATGGTCGCTAAAGCGACCATCAGCTTATAGTAGAACTGTAAATGCCAGGTCCGTATGGCATACTGACCTGGCCAGCTGGAAGCACTTTTGTAGGTCCGTATGCCATACGTCCTTGGCAGCGAAAGGGTTAATACTATTCTGGTGCTGATTTTCTTGGCATAAGTAAGGACACAATGGCACAAGGTGACAAAACTGCAGTCAAACTCGCATTGTCACTGTGTGGGTGGCCTCGCAGGGTCACTAGGTATTTATGGAATGAAGAACGAGCTTTCTCTAATTTACCGTCGGCACTTCTGTTTATTAGAAGTCTTGATTTTTACATGGTGACGTTTAGTTTTTAGCTTTAATTATACATTTAAATCAAGCATTTGTTTATCTTCCAGTGTATGTTTTCATTGTGGGAAACCTTTATTTGTCAGACTTTTTCCAGGGCCCCTAGTAAGTCATGTTGTACAGACCTCCATGCAGGAACATTGGTGTATTAGTAACCTCGGTAAATGGTCACTGATAGTTTCAATGGTGATTCCAGAAAGCTGGAGGCTGACTTTTGATACCTGTTGACTTGGAAAACCTGGCCTACTGTATCTGAAGTGATGAAGCTTTTGAAATTTGTGTAAACTCTGCTTTGCTATGATGTGTCACCGCCTTGAAACAGAAGATTTTAATGGCTGCTGAGCTATTTGTGTTTGCATTGTTCCATAACATTGAGGAAGTTATTTACTTCTGCACAATGGATGTGTTATCTTTACAAAGGGAAGCTGCTCTTAGAAAATACTACGAACGTTTACTAGGAACTGTCCGTTTTTAAATGTAGGGATTGTGGATGTATTGTAGTTTTTAAAATGACTTATTAGGTTCTTAATTTAAAAGTAATCTGCAATAAAAGCCTAAGGGCTTGTTCACACCAAGCGCAGAGCAGTTACAGAACGGATCAAAACTGCGTCCAATGTATTCCAATGGTATTTAGAGCTCTAGTTCACACCAGAGCGTTCAGTTCCAGAGCATGCAGAAAAACTGCAGCGTGCCCTATTTTTTTTTCTCCTCTGGAATGCACAAACGCATGCAAACACATCAAAAATGCATGCAAACGCTATGGAATGCACTGAAAGCCCTTTTTAGACTAAACATTGTTTTTTATTATTATTTTTTTACAAAAACGGCCCACGCTGCAAAACACGCAGCACTGCATGTGCAGAAACTTATACAGATCCGGTCTGCATTTTTTGGTGTGAACAAGCCTTAACTCCGTGCACACCAAATGCCTACCCATGTATTACCTTCGAATAGTCACAGTGGCATCATTACTGAGCAAGACTTGGCCTCTTCACGGAGCAAAACTGTGGGTGGGAAACACCAGGTCATCTCAGTACAGACTCTCTCAGTACAGACTATGTGCACACGACTATAGGGAAAGAGAAAGCGTAGCACAGGCCAGTCTTCACAACTGGAAACTCCTGCACAGGCAAAGGGCAGGAATTGTTTCATGTTGGATTACTGCAAAGATCTGGGCAAAATACACATGAGGCTAAGATTCAAGTAATGGTTTCTGTATTTAGAGCAGACTTGTTTAGTCCAGATTTCAGTTTTAAAGGGTCAGTCCATAATAAAGGAAGGCTATTGGGTTATAAATATGGGAAATGCCACTGCTGGCCTGTTTGTAAAGGTGCAGCCACCCGCTGTACACCCGCTGTACACATGTTATTGCACCTTTTAGAAAGAAGTATAAAAAGGCAGATTCTTTATGTCTATCCTAACAGGTTCCTTTTACTTTCACTTTAAAGCGGTCATTGTATTTTTAGAAACTGAAAATCAGTTTTGAGCGGACTATAATTTTAATTCCAAAATAAAGTGGAAGTCCAAGCAGCATCTTGTCACTTGCAGCAATCCTTACAGCTAATGAATGTGTGTTACAGTCTTTGCCTTTAGCCAGCATCCTTAAAGGATATGTACGCTTCTCCTTTTTTGTTTCTAGACTGCTTCTTTTAAAACAGGAAGTAGATCAGAAGGATAATGTGACCTTATTAAGATTTTTTTTATTAGTGAATGATTTTAATGCATGAATAATTTAGAGAACTATGTCTGTGTTCAGGTGTCTGTAATCCGCTTTAACCCCGATCACAATGACTCAAAGTGGTGAATGATGTTTTTTGACTGCTGAGGGAAACGATTGTATTCTAGCTCTGTGCCGTTAAGAAATAATGGCCCAGTACAAGTATTGTTTTTAACTATCAAAGCCAGGGGTAGCCAAACTCCGGCCCTCCAGCTGTGGTGCATCTACAAATCCCATGAGGCATTGCAAGATCTTACAGCCACAGACATGACTCCTGGAGAATGATGCATCATGGGATTTGTAGTTTCACCACAGCTGGAGGGCCGGAGTTTGGCTACCCCTGATCTAAACTGATAGAATTTGGGTGGCCATACGTTTGAAGAGATTGTTGCATGATGCAGATGATCCTGCAAGATTCTATCGGTGTATGGTTATAGATGATCACATCTGGTGGGCCATACCTGTATTGCAAAAGAAATGACAGGCTGGAAGTTGTCATTAAAAGAGAAATCTAGCCAAACCTTTTTTGCTTTAGTTCTCTTTTGGGTCACAGGAGTAGATTTACTAATGTAATCCTGTGACCCAAACTTGGCATATAGCGGGTTGCTGTCTGCTCGCTATATGTTGACAGCGCAGAGCTGGGAAAGATCCTGACAATATTGTCGGGATCCACCCTGCTGCTTGATTGACAGCTGACTCTGCCTCTCTAGAGCCAGCTGGGCCCACCCCCTTCCTTCTCTGTCCCTCCAATGAGCGCTGGAGGAAAAGAGGGGTGAGTGGAATCCTTGCGGGGAGTGATGACTGACAGCGACCGCTCTCTGCAGGGAGAAGACCATGAGCTGAGCGATCAGCGGTTTGTGGTTGCTCGGTTCTCGAACTGTAGAGCCGGTGTGACACAAAGTGTCGCACACCGGCTCAAACTATTGGGAAGAGTACATTTTACTGTCCCAATAGTTCTCCTTTTAATCTTCCATCTATTATGAGGCATTGCAAGATCTTACAGCCACAGACATGACTCCTGGAGAATGATGCATCATGGGATTTGTAGTTTCACCACAGCTGGAGGGCCGGAGTTTGGCTACCCCTGATCTAAACTGATAGAATTTGGGTGGCCATACGTTTGAAGAGATTGTTGCATGATGCAGATGATCCTGCAAGATTCTATCGGTGTATGGTTATAGATGATCACATCTGGTGGGCCATACCTGTATTGCAAAAGAAATGACAGGCTGGAAGTTGTCATTAAAAGAGAAATCTAGCCAAACCTTTTTTGCTTTAGTTCTCTTTTGGGTCACAGGAGTAGATTTACTAATGTAATCCTGTGACCCAAACTTGGCATATAGCGGGTTGCTGTCTGCTCGCTATATGTTGACAGCGCAGAGCTGGGAAAGATCCTGACAATATTGTCGGGATCCACCCTGCTGCTTGATTGACAGCTGACTCTGCCTCTCTAGAGCCAGCTGGGCCCACCCCCTTCCTTCTCTGTCCCTCCAATGAGCGCTGGAGGAAAAGAGGGGTGAGTGGAATCCTTGCGGGGAGTGATGACTGACAGCGACCGCTCTCTGCAGGGAGAAGACCATGAGCTGAGCGATCAGCGGTTTGTGGTTGCTCGGTTCTCGAACTGTAGAGCCGGTGTGACACAAAGTGTCGCACACCGGCTCAAACTATTGGGAAGAGTACATTTTACTGTCCCAATAGTTCTCCTTTTAATCTTCCATCTATTGAGCAGTCAGAGGCAGGACCATGTAGCAATATCTTCCAGATAAACCCGTACGGCTAGAAATGGCTTCATAGACAGTAATAGGGAGAACTTGTAACATACATGAAATAGTAAATCTGTTTATCCAGTAAACAGAGAATTGTTGATTCAGACCAGTAGACCCCTGCTTGGCTGTGTGAGCACTGTGAACAGTATACGGTTGAGGGTCCTGCTGTTGATTTTTGAGGTGGGTATGGTTTAAAGACCCTTCTGTATTCTTTCTTGAACTGGTGTGATGTTCATTGCTCCCCCATTACCCTGCCCATAAAAAGTCTGATTGATTTCATTTAGTTGAGAAATAATTGATGTACTTTTGCTAAGTAAAACAAGTAAGTTGATCACGTATTTAGAACACCCGTAAGTATTGCAGCAGGCTGTGCTGAAACTGGTTGTGATATTTTGTAGGTTTGTGCAGGAAAGCCTTTTACAGAGTGATGTAAAGAGGAGGGATAGCATGCCAACAAATATAGCTCAGCTCATGTGCTAACATTTGCACAGCAAGGTCCATACACAATAGAGACTCTGTGAGTCCTGAATGACGTTGGTGTATTAACAAACAACTGGGCATTTCTTTTACATAATGTTATACAATATAATATATGACGTTGCCAGTTTATGTTGATTTAAGTTACTTTCTGATGTTTCACACAGCCAAATGTCAGCGGAATGGAGCCTCCATTTGGGGATGCTTTTCGGAGCCCAGCCTTTGCTGAGCAGACATTAATGAGCACAGACCTTCTAGCAAGCAGCTCAGATCCAGACTTTATGTATGAATTGGTAAGTCAACACAGTAGTGATAAATCCAGAGGCTTTAAAAAAAAAAAATCCTTGCAGACTTTCCACTCATGTTTTTGTATATTTACCTTTTAACAGGGTTGAATAACCTTTAGACCTGTTTAAAGTGATAATAAAGTGAAAGGGTTTTTAAGCAAATTCAGATGCTGATTAAATCATGTATAATAGATGCCACTCTTTGATGTTGAAAAGTTTTGGTTTCCTTCAGAATCAACTGGTCCCCTGAGTACTAGCCCTAATATCCTGTTTTAGGGTGGCTCTTTTCTCTCGCAGGGTCCTATGGAGCCACCCTTGTATGTGCTAGTAAGCTGTGTGTCTCTACACAGACCCAACAAGGCAAGCCAATCATCTTCTCTCATCCCTTCTCTAAGCTAGTAGATGGACAGCTGCTGGAGACTGCCCTTCTTATTTCTTCTCATTCTTATACTTGTCTGCTTAGATCAGGGGTAGCCAAACTCCAGCCCTCCAGCTGTGGCGAAACTACAAATCCCATGATGCATCTCTCTCCGGGAGTCATGTCTGTGGCTGTGAGAATCTTCCTCATGGGATTTGTAGTTCCACTACAGCTGGAGGGCCGGAGTTTGGCTAGACCTGGTTTAGGTTATGGCTATGGTGCCCAGACATTCCTCAATTAGTTTTGAGCGATGTTCATTTGCTAATGATACTTGATAGAACCCAGTGCAGTGCACCCAACCTTGTCTGCAGTATGGAATCTTTTCCTTGCCAATTTTTTCTGTATTTGCAGATGCTTCTGATGACCACGATATGGCTGATGGTCATTAGAAGGCTTTCCTTGCTTGATGCATAAACTCTGAGGTCTTTTTTATCAGCAGTGGGCACCTACATGTACAAGGGCCTTTTGCATCAGCATCAATTGTATGACAAAAGGGCACGGAAAACGCTCTTCTATATGTATTCTTCCATAACATTGAATTATTACCTCAATACTGGATCCAGCATTGCTTGTTCACACTGTGGTTTGTTTTTGTTGCCATTTTGGAAGCACTTGACATATGATTCTGAGTGTCCTGCAAACCCCACTTTTGAAATTGTCTCCTGAGCCAGATGGCTTTGTTCAGACTTTGTGTTTGGGGTGGGCAGCTGTGGCTAAGCTGGCTGAGCGCTGTCTGTCCTTCTTTTTGTATGGCTTCTTTGAGGGGACTTGCCAAGGTAGCAGTCAAGCCCCACTGAACATAAAACGCACAAACTGTTCTAGGGAAACAAGGTCAACACTCATGAGTGAACAATTTTATTCTCCTTATAAAAGTAAATTTTATGCATGTTCTGTAATCAGAATATTTGAATGTACAAATGTGGGAATTTATCTAAACTAGAGCAGACAGAATGTGGAGCAGTTGCCCATAGTTACCAATCAGCTTCTCTCTTCACTTTGTTCAGGCAAGATTTTAAAATTAAAGAGTTGCTGATTGGTTGCCATGCACAGCGTCTCCAGATTTTGTCTGCTCCAGTTTTGATAAATTCCCCTTCATAGTCTTTTTTCCTTTCTTTTTGTACTCATTACATATACTTTTTCTTCTGTACAGGACAGAGAGCTGGGATACCAACAAAGCCCAACGGATAATTTTATGTTGTTGGAGGACTGCAAAGATTTGGAAACATTTGACTCATTTGCTGGCTTCCTGGGTAACAGTCCACCTTTAACATCTCACTGGGAGCAGTGGGACACGTACTGTGAGGATTTGACCAAGTACACAAAGCTCACTAGTTGTGATATATGGGGAACGAAAGAGGTGGATTACCTTGGTCTTGATGACTTTTCCAGTCCCTATCAGGATGAAGAGGTAATCAGCAAAACCCCTACTCTTGCTCAGCTAAACAGTGAGGACTCTCAGTCAGTCGTAGACTCTCTTTGCTACACTGAAAGCTTCCTTGGAGGTAAAGCCACACTTTTTACAGGAAAGAAGGTGGCACCAGGAAGGGTGGCTGCTCCAGTTTGTTCATCCAAGACTGCCCTTGTCGAAGTGCCATCATCTGAATGCTCCCAAAAAGCTGCCAAGGCAGCAGCAAGTATCCAGATGGTAGCAAAGACTAATATTTCTTGTGATGAGAAAATTAATATCCATGTGGAGTGCAAAGACTATGTAAAAAAGGCTAAGGTAAAGATCAGTACGGCACTTCCAAGCCGACCAACAAGCACTGTGGTTGCCATAGATGCAGCCAAGGAAAATACTTGTTTTTGTGGCGCTGTAGCCAAAAAGCAGGAAAGGACAATTGGGGAGCCCTCCATAGGCCGAATTAGCTGTGCCATTTTGCCTTTCAGAGAGACTCAAAAGCTTTTCTGCCCGCCGCAGAATGTGGCCACAATTGATGTTGTGGAGGCTAGTGTTACTGTGTCGGCTTCTGTTTCTGATCCCTCACAAAAGAAAGAGGAGCACAACTATTCACTATTCATCTCAGAGGGGCTTACTGAATCGGTCATCAAGGCTGAAAGCCAGCAGGAGAATGAGGACGAGGAGGTTGAGTTGGATGAAGAAGAACATGATGAAGGATTTGGTAGTGAACATGAGCTATCTGAGAATGAAGAAGAAGAAGAAGAGGAGGAGGAGGAGGAAGAAGAAGAGGAAGAAGAAGAGGAGGAAGAAGAAGAAGAGGAGGAGGACTATGAAGATGACAAAGATGACATCAGTGATACCTTCTCAGAACCAGGTATGTTTTCTATATCAGCTGTCGGGCAAATATCTCCACACATCTTAAGAGATTAAATGAATCCTGTGCTGAGAGAAATCTAGATGCTACCATTGCTGACTGCTCCTTCCGAAAATACTAGTTTCCTAGCTGTTATACTGACCTAATGGTTTCAGTACATTTGTATATTAGTCACTTAGAAGAAGTATGCAAATAAGAAGTTTCAGGTTCACCATTTGCATGCGTATTCCAAGTTAGTGGGTCTGAGAGTACGGAAGTTAGGATCAGCATGACAGTTGGACAGCTAGCTTTTTTAGAAGGGAGCCTGCATAGCACCATCAGAATTGTTTTGCTGAATGATATTTTTCTGTGTTTCTTATGTTATTTTAGATAACAGAGTATAACAGATGCTGCTATACAATGTGAAGGAACTTTTATTTAGGAGGCTATTCCTAAAACATCAGTAGCAGGACAACTGGCCAATGGCAAAATAGACAATTCAAATCGATATTTTGTGCAAGTCCTTACGTTGATTTGCCACCCCCTTCCCATTTTTATCCTTCACAGTCCTCCTTTTTGTCTTGTTATAAGACGGGTTAGGCAAAGTCTGACAAATACGTATTGAAAAAGAAATCAATATATGAATAATGTTTTTCATGGGAAATATTTGCAGTTTAGCCCTGTGATTAACACACTTCTGTTACACGCATAGCTGGGCAGGTGACCCCCCCCCTTCATTGTTCATTTCCTGTCTTGGCTTTTTAATGACCATTGTTATCTCTTAGACTCCATCCTACTGAATGGACAATACATCTACACCGTGACACTGCAGATTCACTGTCACACACAGGAAGCTGGAACAGTGAGTTAAAAAAAATAGTCACCTGCCTGGCTAGGCAGTGTGACAGAGCTGTGTGATCCCAAGACTGGCTGTACAAAATTTGCAGTGTCTTCAAACCATGCCTGGCGATATAAACTAAGTGCACCTAAAAATACATTCCGATAGCTGCACAAAAGGTATTTAGGGTACTCAAGTTCTGACACTACTTGGAAATGTCAGACCTAAGTCTGTGTCTTTTCAGAACTGCCCAACATTTGGTTATGGCAGTGCAAAATTGCAGTTAGGCACATGCAGGCATTTTTGAGTGCCTATACTTTTTTTAAATTTATTTAAGATAACAGAGTCTCTTTGTCTCTTATTGGGAGCCCATAGCCTTGAGGAAAGGTTAAGACCCACATAGTGGTAGTGGTCTCCTCTGTAACCAGTGGTTGTTGTCATTTGCTGTCAACACTAGAAAATCAATTGGAATGGCTCCATGAACAACACTTTTGCATTTCCTTTCTTCCAATAATTATTCATCTCTCAAATGTTGTTTTTTTTTTCTTTTGAACATCAATTTAACATTTATAGGTTATGAAAATGATTCTGTTGAAGATTTAAAAGGATTAACTGCTGTGTCAACGCGGAAAAGGGGAAAGCGAAGGTACTTTTGGGAATATAGCGAGCAGTTAATGCCTTCTCAACAGGAAGGGATGCTGAGACCGTCTGAATGGAACAGAGACACGCTTCCCAGTAATATGTACCAGAAGAATGGCCTGCATCATGGTACTTAAGACTTTGTAGTTTTTCTATGGTCAATTATTTTAATTGCATAATTGGGCAGTAGTTAATAATTTGTGGTGTTCCACATTGGGCCTCACTTATAAAAAACCTGGATATAATAGTTCATTGAAGAGGTTGAATGTAGTAACCACCTCAATCCAACTATAATATTTCAAGTATAGGTTTGAGAATGAACACTGATAGGTTGCTGTGCAAGTAAATCTGTTTTTGCTTTTACATCATCTTCAATGTATAAATAAATGTTTAGTTTTTATTTTACAGTCAGTTTTAGAAAATGGTACTTGAGAAGATAAGATGAGCAACCTTAATCTGACATCTATCTATCTATCTATAGATAGATCTATCTATAGATAGATATAGAGATATAATATATTTTCAAAAAAGGATTTCTGAAAATTGACTAATGACCGTAGGTACAAAACCTACACTTCTTTTAGGGCTCATGCACACGGCACAAATATGCCTGTATTTGAGGTGCCGGGGAGCCGCCGCATCTGCTGCATTTTTCTGTTCATAGGATTGTATAGATGGAAAACGCTGTATGCATGTAAATGTTGCTACCGGCAACATTTACCGGTATGGAAAATTTTCATGCATTTACGTGTGCGTGAAAATGCAGTTAGTGTTAACAAGTGTAAGTAATTATCCCCCTCTACTAACTAAAAAAACGCCCATAGGCAACACTTAACACGCTTTTACTGCTCATCAGTTTAGTGTTATCAGTGACTAATGACCCTAAAATTATTGCTCTCACTCCGTTTGCGGCGATATGTAACATGTGCGGCACAATAGGCGCATTCGTCGTTTTCACACGTAAGGGCACCCGACGCATATCCGCGTGTGTATGTGGGGGGTGGGGGACTGAAAAAAATTGTTTTCTTTTTGAATTTTTTTTTATGCTTCTTTATTTTTTTTTTTACACACCCCTTTATTGCCATTACATGGGGGGATAAGAAGCCCCCTATGTGATAGCCAATTTACATGACAGGTCCTCTTTATGGAGACATCAGGGGTCTCCAAGACCCCTAATGTCACCTAGGGACCCCCAGAGAAGCTGATGAAGCAGAGATCTGCTTCATCAGCTTCTGTAGCTGGAGAGTGACACTGAATGCAGGAAGTGATGTAATATACATCACTTCCTGCATTTGGGCACTAAGAGGAGATCAAAGGGAGACCGTATACTGAACTCCCTTTGATCTCCTGTCACAGAGCCGTCCCGGCCGCATCAATATATTTTTTTCTTGATATTGTTTATGTTCTGCTTAAGGCTTATTTATATTGAGAAAGGTGTAGCAACTCTGGGGCTTCATAACAACTGCTGTACATCATGGCAGTCACTCCACAAGTGTTCTCCACCATCCTAGTCCTAAATCTGACTAGACAGTCCTAAATACATTACACAAATCTCCAAGATGAATGGGTTGATATGCCCTTTTACAAATGCTAATGTTTCTTCCACCACTGCAAATGCTTTCAGTATTTACCAATGAAAAGGGAGGTATCTTGTGTGTTTTTTTGTTATTATATTGCATACAGCCAGCCATCTGTTGTCTCCCATGTTCTTCCACCAAGGGTCACCTCCTGCACAGTGCACATTTTAAAAAGGTGTCTTGTATTATTGTGTATTTGTTAGACACCTTTGAAATGGCAGTTGGTAAAGAACATACAGAATGCAAATTGATTTGCTTGACTTCTACTACAAGAGTGGGGGTCACTGTCTTTCTGGTTACTGTAGTGTTTTTTGTTTTTTTCCACCAGAGTGTAGTGTACTGTAGTGTTTTGACCCTAGAGTTATGTAAGCTTTCACTGCAGTAATTTAAAGTATTTATTTTAACAGCATACTATTCATCAGTGACAAGTGTGTTGTTGTTTTGTGGGCAGGCAAGTACACTGTGAAGAAGTCTCGCAGGACAGATGTGGAAGACCTGACTCCGAATCCAAGAAAACTTATGCAGATTGGCGGGGAGCTACGTAAACTGAACAAAGTAATCGGTGACCTAACGCCTGTATCAGAGCTTCCTGTTACTGCCAGGCCTCGATCCCGTAAAGAGAAAAACAAGCTGGCATCCAGGTATGATGATTATTAACAATAAATAGAACTGATCGGAGTCAACTTTACTGTAAACATTCAAATACAGCTCTACAACATGCTTTTTAAAGGTGAGTTGTAGGCACAATATTAAATCAGTCTCTGGAGATAGCTAAGGCTTAACCATATTGGTGTATTTACTCATTAAAGCATCTCTTAACACAGTTTTTATAGATTTTTGACACCCATCAATCGCCAAACTCGTATCCTGCAGCTTTTCAGTTAGTCAAGATACATTGCAACAGTCACATGGGAGAGAGAGCAGTGGAGGATGAGCTGCTGAGTTTTTGCAGCACACTATTCACCAGTGTATGAATTTACTAATTCCTGTGACTACTATTTTTTTCCTCGTCCATTGAGGGACAAAGCAAATCATATACTGTTGGATTATACTGCAGCCCACAGCAGTACTGGACACTGGCAAACAAAAATTGTATGCCTACTACCAGCATGCCTCAGTTTTTTGCTACTGTCCTAGAATGACATCTTTTCTTCAGCTTTGCTGGGAAAACTCTAACATTTTTCTAGCCTTTCTTTTGTCTGGTCTCTACAATGGCAGCTTTCCTCAGCCTAGCTTTGGAGTGCTGTACCGTGACTCCCCTGGCCTGCACATGCAGGCCTAGCCTGGAAGCGAAAACACTAGAGATGTAATGGAGAATCAATATCTGTTACTTATGTATCTCATGGGGTTTTTTTTTTAATGTGTTTTTTTTGCAATCTCATCTGTAGTGTTTTTATCTCCCTGGATCTGAGGCCATCACACCAGTCACAGAGCTTTGTTCCAGACAATCGCTGAAAAAATGACTGTGCTGGCATCAAGAAAGGGCCTACAGGACTTGCTTGTACAGCTATGATGCAGAGTGGCTGTGTGGAAACAACCCTTTTAACATACCTACAGGCAGCTACATTGTTGTCTATCTCCAGCATCCACAAAGAGAAATTGTTACCACTTGCAGCATCTAAACTTTATTTCTGCTGTGTAAAAGGCAAGAATCATACTTTCTAGTAGACCCTGTGGTGAATCAAACGTTTCTGATTTACTAGAGTTGCACATGCCGCTGGAATCATTCCAGTCCAAAACTTCCTTGGGTGTTCTGATATCGCTTCACTCTCCCGACTACTACTTCATTAGTTTGCCTTTAGTACATGAGCGGCAACAACAAGCTGGTGACATTGTGGCTGAGGGGGATCAGGAGAAGAAGTAGGCAGTTCAGACACACAGGCACCTGGGAGAATACAACAGTGCATGTAACTCTGCTAAATACAGAAAGTTTGATTCACTGGAGTGGCTAATAGTGAGGATGATGCTTGCCTTTTCTACGGTAAAAAAAATATAACGGGATCGCTTGAAGTGCATTTCTGCTCTTTATTTTCTTTGTTACCGCTCACTTTTACGCTACCCTATATCGTTGTATCTTTCCATTAGCATTCATTCTGCTTAAGCTCATTATCTTTCTTTTTCAGAGCTTGCCGGCTAAAGAAGAAAGCACAGTATGAAGCCAATAAAGTGAAGCTGTGGGGACTCAATACTGAATATGGTAAGAAATTGAATGTTTTTACATGGTGGCGCAAGATTCTAATTAACATGAGCCATGACTTCTTTCTGCCATCATAGACATAGTTGATAAAAAGTACTGACAGTGGAGCACATATACAGGTGAAACTCGGAAAAATTAGAATATCGTGCAAAAGTTCATTTATTTCAATAATGCAACTTAGCCGTCTACCAGGAGATTTTGGAGCACTTCATGCTTTCTTCCACAGACGAGCTTTATGGGGATGCTGACTTCATTTTCCAGTAGGACTTGGCACCTGCCCACACTGCCAAAAAAATTTCTGAGATTGTGGATCTGGGTTTTCATGAGCTGTAAGCCATAATCATCACAATTATGACAAATCACGGCTTGAACTATCTTGCTTTGCATGTAATGAGTCTATCTCATATATTAGTTTCACCTTTTAAGTTGCATTAGTGAAATAAATGATGTTTTGCACGATATTCTAATTTTTCGAGTTTCACCTGTAGGTTCTCCCAAGTGGCATACTTTTTAATCTCTTCATTGCAGGGTGTATTTTGTATGCCAATATTGGAGTATTTAACTTATGTTTTATGTATGCAATAAACTTCCTTCACAACTCTTAACTAGATCTACCCTACGTTTGGTAATTTGTCTTGAGGCCTTATTCACACAGATCCGTGTGGCATGCACGGCCGTATTGGGCTGCTCCCGGGAAGGACAGGTGCTGCGTGTGATTGTACCCAGAGCCTGTTCTTCTCTATGGGACTATGCAGCCGTACGCTCACCCAAGCTGTACATCCGTGCGTGTGTTCATGCTTGGACGCAGACAGGATCCATCCTTTCTGCGTATGGGCACGGACACCCGCACGGATGTGCAGCTCGGGTGAGCGTACAGCCATGTACTCCCATAGAGAAGAACAGGCTGCTGCATACAATCACACGCAGCACCTGTCCTTCACGGGAACGGCCCGATACGGCCGTGCACGGCGCACGGATCTGTACGGGCTGACACTTAGCTGTGTGAATGAGGCCTAAAGGACTGGTGCATATCAAACTGCTAAGACATGTTTTGATTACTGTTTGCAAGTTGAATTCATTATTTGCATCTTGTATATCTTGTGAAAATCTTCTCTGTATAAAGTGTTATGTCTGCTCAAGAGAGTTTATGTAACATTAGGTCTGAATGTCCAGCCATGCTGCAAGACAACAGTAATCAGAATATTTTACTGATGTATATTATTGCACAAATCAAATATTTTTTTTCTTTACATTTGTCTGCAGATAATTTGCTGTTTGTGATCAATTCAATAAAACAAGAGATAATGACACGGATACAGATCCCATGGGAGGAATGGTCATCAAGCATGGAGCAGAAACTGGATATGCTTATCAAAGAGACCCTGGGTATGTTTCTGTGTGATGGGTACCCCTACTGGGCTGGATCTTATATCCATGAAAGCAAAAGGGCCAGGGACAACCACTCCTCTGAAGGGTTTAATAGATGTGCATGCTGCAGGATGCTGCCCCACTTCAGCCAGGGAGACTGTGATATCTAGAAGAAAAACACAAACAGGGGGTGCCTTCCCTAGTGCAGATACATTTTATTCAGGTAAAAGCAAACAATAAGAATAGTAATCACAAGAGTAGATGAACATTAGCCTTAGGACGAACCATCACTGGCACACAGGAGCGTTTGTGTAACTTCCACTTGCCTCATCCTGGTTTATTGTCCTAAGGCTCATGTTCATCTACTCTTGTGAGTACTATTCTTATTGTTTGCCTTTACCTGAATCAAATTTATATGCACTAGGGAAGGCCTCCTGTTTGTGTTTTTTCTTCTGGATCTTATATCTCCTAGCAGAGAATGGGCTGAGTGGGCAAACTATAGTGACCTGTATGCTTTATATAAACATCACTCCAAATATCAGGCCACTGAATAACTACATGAAATATTGTGTACCTGCTTTTTTTGTATTCATTCATATATGGGGTTATTTTTTACTTGTTTACTTAACAATTTACCTGCCATGATAATTAGTCAATTTAGTTTTATTCTAAAATAATGAAGGGACCACTAGCCTTTTATACTTTGTGTATGGCTAGGTATACAGTAAATCTACGTTGACAGATAAGAGATTCTACACTGGCCTAGTATTCAAATGTCCTAACTATCCAGAGGGCTCCCTCCCAATTCCAACAACAATCGGTCTGGATATTACAACTAAGAATTTATTCTTGGCATATAAATGTGACAAATCCTAGGGGTAAATGGACCTTGACATTATGCTGTCAGCATTCTTCTAATGTTGGGCACTGGCTGATGGGCTAGATGTTCCTGCCAGGGTCACTGACGATTTTAAAATCCATTCATTAATTTTTAGTTCAATAAGTTTTTATTAAGGGTTTTATAAGACATACAGGTAAAAGTTTGACATTCAAAAATCAAAGTCAGTGTACAAAAGTAATGGAAACATAAAAGGTCCAAAGTCTTGGAACACAGTCAAGAATATACATTCTCGGGCCAGGGGGTCCAAAATAGAGGAGGAACATCACCCGTATGGGTCTCACTATGTTGTGCCACTTTGTGGCCCTTATAACGGACCCTCCTGCTGGGGATGTCTCAGGAGACAGCATCCAGTTAGGGGCGTATAATCCCGGCCCGGTAGTTACTGTGACCAGACTAACGTAGAAGAGAAACCTTCCATTAGGGCAGACCATGTACTGGAGCAGAACACTCAGATAGCAAAGGAAGGAGACCACCAAGGCTGAAAGAAGCGAGTGGGACAAAGAGAAACAGGGGAGAAAATAGCTGACCAGAGGAAAGGAGGAAAAGGAACAGGGAAGCTAAGTGAAGAGAAGGGAAGGTAAGGAGGAGCTGAGTTCAGAGAGAGGTCAGTTCAGAGAGGAACCCGGGACAGGCGAGCCCTATCTAAGAACCCCCCCTCCCCCAAAAACGTCAGAGTGTCATGGGCCTCCTGGAGAAACCCAGAATGCCTAGGTAAGGACCCCAGCCGAGAATGCATCTGAGGCTCGGAAGGCCAGCCATACGGACCAGGTGACAGTGTACCTCTCTCTGATGTCATGTTCATCCGTCAGCAGTCTTTCCAGGTCCCCAATTCGGTCCATTTCCACAGTCCACTCCGCCAAGGTAGGGAGTACAGGTGTACGCCAGTGCCGGGGAATAACTGTCCTTGCGGCTGGGAGAAAGTGCCTCAAGAGGCCCTGATTTTTAGGGAACCTGGTACCATAGTTAACAGTGCAATATGGGGGTCGTTGGGAATCACTGTACCTGTCACCCGGTGATGGACATCTAGCACTGCCTGCCAGAACTCTTTAAGAGGAGGGCAACTCCACCAAATATGTGTCATATGGCCAGGAGAGGCCTGACAACGCCAGCAGGAGTCCGGAACCTGTGGATAAAACCGGTGGAGCACCGCGGGGCACCTATACCACCTGGTTAAAATTTTCAGATTTTTTTCGTGAGCCATGCAGGCAATAGAGAGCGAGTGAGATGGGACAAAAGATTTCTCCCAGTCCAACGCACTGATGGGGAAGTCCTAGTTCTTGTTCCCATACTGAGACATAGCCCGAAAGTTCCGAGGAAGGGGAAGAGGAGAGAAGGGAGTAGAGTAACGAGACGGTGTGGGCGGGGGGAGAGGATTGCAAGAGGAGGGAGTCAAAAGCTGTAGGGGTCGCTTCGAAGACCTCAGGGTGAGGGAATGAGGAGACAAAAGAACAAAACTGTCTATCAGCCAACCACGTGTCCCCGATTGAGGGATCTACCGTGGAGTCCCGGATTGCCACCACCAAACGTCTGTGAGAGTCCCTGGTCCATCTACCGAAGGCGGACCGACGCATCGCTGGAGAGAACGCTGGGTTATTAAAAAAGCGGGGTCATGGGGCCAGCGTATGAGGAAAGCCCAGAGGTGGAGACCCATCTATCCCACAAATGTAGGGTGTGTAGGGTCAAGACCGGGAAGGAGGGAGGCAGAGCACGAGGCTTTGGGAGGATCCAAGGCAGGGCCTGCAGGTCGAAACCCGTAAGCACCCCCTCAAGTTGAACCCATTGTTTGTCATCGACTCTATGGAACCAGTCCATGATACGCAGCAAGACCAAGGCAAATTAACTTTGTGAATAATTGGCGTAGTTTGTTAAAGAAAGTAGCGGGAGGGAGGATTGGTAAAACCTGAAAGAGGTATATGAATCTGGGGATCACGTCCATTTGGAGAGCATGGATCCTTCCCAGCCATGAGATGTTCTTACAATCATATGCGGATAGATCCAGAGCAGTTTTCCGAAGGAGGGGATCATAATTGAGGGAAAATAACTGAGATGTGTCTGAGGAGAGTTGGATTCCCAGGTATTTTCTTGAGGCTTGGCAGATGCGAAACGGGAAGTTCGTAGCCGAGATAGCTCCACCTCGTCTAAGGATACATTCAGGATCTCTGATTTGGTGAGGTTCACCTTGAAGTTGCTAAGCAAACCAAAGCGAGTGAACTCTTGGAGAATGGAGGGCATGGAGGTATGGGGATGAGTGACATAAACCAATAGGTCATCCGCAAACAGAGCTAATTTGGGCTGAAAGGGCGCTACTGACAGACCCGGAATTGCCAAGTTTTTGCAAAGTGCCACCGCCAGGTGTTCCATAGTTAGCACGTAGAGCAGTGGGGACAGTGGGTCCCATTAGAAATTTTAAACCTTGGGGAGAGAGAGCCGTTTATCCGGACCCGGGCCGTCGGGTTAGAGTAGAGGGCCATAATGTTGTGTAAGAGCCTGGGCCGAACTCCACCCTGCAAGAGGGAGTGTCAAAGTGCCAAGTCTGTCGAAAGCCTTATCAGCTTTGACCGACAGGAGGCACATGGGTGTTTTGGAAGTCTGGGCATGTTGCATGAGCAGGACGGTTTTGATGGTATTGTCCCTGGCTTCCCGCCCCCGCACAAACCCAACCTGGTCAGAGTGAACCAAGTCAGGGAGTATAGGTTGCAAACAATTGGCTATCAATTTGGAGAAAAGCTTAAGATCTATATTAATGAGCGAAATGGGGCGATAATTAGTATAAAGGGTATGATCCTTTTCAGGCTTAGAGATCAGGGAGATATGTGCCTTCAACGCCTGAGCCGGAAAGTCAGATCCCAGGGCGATAGAGCTAAAGACCCTAAGGAGAAACGGAGATAGGAGATCTTTGTATTGTTTTTTAGAACTTAGCAGAAAACCCATATGGTCCCGGGCTCTTACCCGCTGGCATAGATCTAAGAACACAGTGGAGTTCCTCTATGGTGAAGGGGGACTCCAAGTCTTCCGCCATCAAGTCATCCAGGATAGGTAGGGCAGTATCTTGCATATAGGAGGACAGACGGACCTCCCGATCCGGGGCATTCGGGTCGATCTCAGGGATGTTATACAGAGACTCATAGAACTCGGCGAAAGCCTTCTGTATCGCCAAGGGCGAGTGCACTAAGATATCCGGAGACGATCGAATCTGTGAGATGAAAGTATGAGAGGATCTAGGGCGTAGGGTCCTAGCAAGGGCTCTACTACATTTGTCTCTGAATTCATATGCTCGATACGCCAACTTGTCGGCATATCTGTGGGTCGAGCGATACAGAAGGCCCAACCGCCGCTGCCTAGTCTGTGAGATTTGTAACAAAACCTCTGGATCAGGAGAACTTTTGTGGTGCATTTCCAGCTCCCTAAGAGACTGAAAGGTGCCACGCATTGGTCTGAGAGTGCTCCCGTTTCAGCCTAGAGCCATGTTGAATTAGGGTACCCCGGAGGACTGCTTTAAGGGCTTCCCATTGGGTCGGGAGGGGCGTAGGGTCGTGGACGTGGACCTCTAAGAATCGGTGAATCTCCAGAGATATCGCTGCAGCACACACCGGGTCGGCTAGGAGAGATTCATTAAGACGCCATGTCCATCACAGGGGGGAATCTGGGATTTGCAAAGAAAGTGTGACTGAGGCATGGTCTGACCATACAGTGCGGTCAATGTCGCAGTTAGGGGAACAATCCAGTACTGAATGGGAGACAAAGAAGTAGTCTAGCCTACTGTATGACCGATGGGGCGCAGAGTTATGGGTATAGTCACGAGCCAGGGGATGAAGAAGCCTCCACATATCTACCAGGTGAAGGTCAATGAGGCGTTTTTTGAGTATACGTAGTTTGGTGAAAGATACGTTAGAGCGACCTATCAAGGAGTCTAGACCGGGTTCAAGAGTGAGGTTAAAGTCCCCCCCCCCCCCCCACAAGGACCGTACCCTCTGCAAAGTCCGCTAATATCTTCAGGTATTAGACAGCTGCCGTTACTTGGTTAGTTTGTGGGAGGTAGAAGTTCGCCAGCGTATAGGTCCTACCCCAGAGTGACAGCTTGAGCAATATATACCTACCAAACTCATCTACGCGTTGGTCCAACACCGTCGCAGGTAGAGATTTGTGTAAGGCAATGGAGACTCCCCTAGATTTCTGTATACTGTTAGAGCTATGGTACCATCTGTTACAATATCTGTTAGCACATTGAGGAACATGTAGACTGTGGAAATGTGTCTCCTGGAACAATATCACCTGTACCTTAGCCCTATGCATAAGATATAGGATCTGGCCTCTCTTTGATGGAACATTCAGACCCCGAGCATTGTAGGTACAGAGTTTAAGGTCCATTGAAGCCACCCCAGTGGCCGCCATTCCGGGGGTATGGGGCGGAGAAGGGTAGGGCAGATAGAAGAGGGAGAGGAGAGGACAAAGTAATCAAGAAGGAAAGTAAGAGAAAGAGAAGTTAAGAAGAAAATGCAGAGAAAAGGTACAGGAGAGCAGAGAGAGAATGAAAAACGCACAAGACAAACAAAAGACTAGAAAGGGCAGGTTACCCCGCCTCTAGTAGACAAAACCTAGCAACCGCTAGATCTAACCTATCCCTTATGGGGAAGGTATATCCTATTCGGGGAGATGTGGTCGAAGTGGCAGACGGAGACATATGAGATGCAACCAGGACTCCATTCATTCATTCATTTTTAAATGTGCTCCAAGTGTATGTCCAGGCCTTCTTCTTTTTTTTTTTTTAAATTGGGGATAAATTGGAGCCCCTTTTGGATTTTTTTGCACCATGGGGGCCCTGTTAAAAAAATTTCTCTTTTACTTTTAAGGGTCATGGTTTCACCAGACATGAAATGAGAGCATACGTGACAAAACAGAAATAAAAGTGCTTATTTTGGTATAGTAGAGAAGGGCTAAAGTCCCTCTCAGCTTTTTATTGTTGTCAGTCTCCCTGTTGCAGATTTTCTGTCACTTTCAATCTGGTAGAACTGTTCTCATTGGTAACATACCTGAGGGTAGATCTATGTGACAGAGCCCCAAACAATAGTGAAAACCTGAAAGGGTTCTTATCCTTCCCCACTCCATTACATACAAAACAAAATGTTTTGGCTGGACAGAATGCTAAATTTGTATAGATTTCTATTATGTGCTAATGAACTGTTTTACAAATTAGTTTGTATTAAACCCATTTGTGTTCTGGTGCAAGTCCATTTCAGTATTTCTAGAACATGAAGGGCATCTTATCAAGAAGCAAAATCCAAATTGTGTTGGTAATTTGGTTTGACAAAGCTTTTGATTTTGATTTTTCAGGTTCCCCAGTGGCTGGCCAGACTTCCGAGTTTGTTAATCAGGTTTTGGAGAAAACCTCTGAGGGAGATCCCACCGGTGGCCTAGCAGGGTTACGTATCCCGACTTCAAAGGCGTGACGGCCTCTATCCGCAATGAGTGCTGATGTGTCATCCTTGTCTTCTCCGCAGTCTGCGCTGTAAATTCCATTTAGGTTTTGCATGTAAATTTTGTCATCTGCTAGAATTCTATTTTAAACAAGCTTTGTTGAGCTAGTGAAGCAAACAAACTTGTCTGCAAGTGGCGAGTACCCATTGCATGGAGCTCTTGTTTATCACAACTTCTGGTTGTGCGTAATTCTTTGTTCTTAGCATACAAGCCGCAGCAATTCTATCATTGCCATAGATTTATAAATACTGAACCTAAATGTGCAAAAGAAATAGTCAAAACGTATTGCAAGTTAACATCTGTCTTAGTCAGACTTTTTTTCTTTTTTTTTTTTCCTTTTACGTTCCCATAGTTTTGAGCTAATGCCAAAATTATTCAGAATAAGCTTCAAACACATGTGATAAGAAGACTTACTCTTCTGGGATGTTAGAATTGCAGATTCTATTATGCCAGGCTTTACATCTATGCCTGTGTGTGCCGCGCTCATGTTAAAAAAGCCGCGGTCACCATAAGTGGCTCCAATCACAATCTGGCTGACTCTAAAAAAAAAATAGACTTTGCGATAGCGAATAGTTTGTCAGAAGTGGGACTGCGATTTATAAAAGATTTATCTTTGTGCCTTGTAATTTGCAGAGTGAGAAGACACTTCTACTGCTTAAAGTTGCTTTTTTTTTTTTTTGTATGCTTTGAACCGTTACAAAATATTTAAAAAACTTTAGTGTAGTGGGCTTAAATGCATAGTTGGATATATATTTATTGGGTTGAGCTTACATGTTTGTTTTAAGAAAAAAAAAATCCTTGTGACTTCCTTTTTTTTCTCTGAATGTATATAGGAATATGTTGAAAATGTAGATATGTGCCACAGAGTCTGTGAATTGTATAGACATTGAAAAAAAAACCCCACAAAAAGGTTAAAAAAAACCCATAAAAGGCAACAAAATAGGAAAAACATAAAACGGTGGCTCTTGATTTAAAAGCTGCACTTTTTTATTTGTGTTCTCTTTTTTTTTTTTTTTCTCTCTCTTTGGTACTTTTAGTTTGAAAAGGAAGAAAAATTGCACATTACTTTTGATTGTTTTCTTTTTATTTTGTACCAAAGACAAAACACGTTGAGGTGGCAGACTGCCAGTCAAAGTAAAGATTTGCACAGCTTATAAGATACTGTAATGAATGTAAACATTAAAAATATATATATATTTAAAAGTTTAGGTCAGCAGAATTTTGGAATTAGTTAGGAGTTATAATACTGTGAATTTTTTGTTTTGTTTTTGTAGTGGTCCAATTTTCTGAGTCTGTATGTAAACTCGGAGGGTTTATTCACAGTCTGTCTACAACAAGGTGACTGATTTCCCTTGTTAGATAAATATAGAATATATATATATATGTGTGTAGTTGCTTTTCTTTTCTTTTTTTCTTTTTTATTAGATTTTGAATTTATTTTTTCAGATTTTTGGAGGGTAGATGGTGCTGCTACATTTCATTGATATAAACAAACTTCCAGAATCTGATATTTTCCCTAGCCAGAGACATGTTGTAGGCCTATATGTTGTAAAAGAAAATATATATATAAATATCTCTATTTTTGCTATTGTAATATGCACCCAAATATATTGAACTTGAGCGAAAAAAAAAAGAGGGAGAGCTTTAGAAATTCTAATACTTTGCCAATATTTTTGTTAATCTTGTTGATCATACAGAGCATGACCTGATACAAAAAAAATAAACAAATGTAAGATGTTAAAAGAGGTTACAAAAAGACCAAAAAAAAAAGAAAAAAGACAAAAAAAGGAAAAAAAATAATAATATATTTTTGTACCTTTTCTGCAAGATATGCTTATTTGGTTGTTAGGGATTTGGTTTTCATTTTTTGTCTTTTGGTGAATTTGGCTTTATCCTGCATTTAGTAACTTTAGTGGCTACAGAAAGTGTTGGGATATTCTTTCTTGGTTTACATTAGGGAAGATGGAGTCTTAAAGCAGGCCTAAACTATAAAGTTAAGTCCACTTTTTTACCCAGATTTCCCAGCTATTAGGAGGCTAGCTAAGGGGGCAAAGATATCAGATACTCAGGGATGTAAAAGCAGATTGTTCAGCACTCTGGTTTCTGGTAACATGACCTAAAACCAACATATTGGTTGACATGACCTGAAGCAGCTCTGGTATTGTGGGTTCCAACCTCAGCAGAGTCTCCATTCCCTTTCCCTGAAGACTGTGCTGACATGCCACAGAGCAGGCCACTGTGGTTCTAGGACACATGACCCTAAATTGGAATGCTACAGGATTGCATCTCGCAGGTATATGTTTGAAGCCTGCCTCCCTATTGCCTGAGTAATCTATAAAAGTAGACCTAATATTAGAGTCTAGGTCAACTTTAAAATGTTCAAAGTTAACCCAGTCCTATGGCTGTCTGTAGTTCATTTGTAGAAGTTCCCACAATCAGGAAACAAAACAAAAAAGTATTTAATACCGAGCTATTAAAGAGCCATTCCAGCCAGTGTTTGGTTTAACTGTTTCATCATGTTACAACACATAGCACGTTTCGGTTCATGCCTATGGTCCCTCATATGAGATCAGCTGCTGCTAAAGGTCCAGAAGCCTCCTCACTCCATTTGCTGCACATTCTCATTCAGGCAGAACACAGGAATCACCAATTTGTTCTGACGTCTCCGTTTATTCGGAAAGTGACCCATGTGGGTAAGGATGATATTCTCTTGTTTTGCCTAAATCAGATTGTGGGTTAAGAGGCAGCAGAAGAAAAAATCAGCATGGGACCTTAACCAGCACTCCATCTTTTGTCAGGACATAGAGAGGTACATGGACTCTTGCTATGTATAAATCACAATGTCCCACCAAATGCAAACGTTTGTAGTATTGGCTGGAATTTCTTCTGTAATCTGGCTCAGTCAGAGATTATATTTTCATTAATACATTCTTGGACAATACATAGATTGAACATTTTAGTTTACTAAAACTATACAAAGGTTTTTTTTTCTTGCTGTAAATAAAGACATTTGCAGCACTTTGGTAGTTGTAATGCCAAAAAAAAAAAAAAGATTGCTCCCTTAGACGTGCCTTATGTTTTTTTAAATTTGGGGGTCGAATCTGTTTTTAGGTCTTAAACGGAAACAGAGAATTACAAAGTGCATCAGAAATGTCCATTATTATTTGTTTTCTTTTCGTCTTGTTAGACACCAGCAGTTATGGGAAAGGCATTGTTCCTGAGAAAATACAGTGCGACTATCTCACGATTTGTTTTATAGTAATCTGGTTCATACTCACACACACTAGCCTGTAACATGTCTGCCTTTCCTAGATAGTGGAGGCACTATCCTCCACTATCCACTACTAGTAAAAGGTATATTTATGTATGTATGAGCAGCTGTTTTTTTCACAAATGTAAACCTATGCCTGTGCAGATATTGAGATTTTAGGCTGCCTTCATTGCACAGCATGTTATTCTATATTATCTGCCTACTTCAAGCTGAATTGGTAGATGTTTACCAAGTGCCCCATTATTCATCAGCTTGTCTCTAGCACCCTCTACAATGTGCATGCCCAATATATGTATACATGTTTTCATAGTAATGCATTCAATAAGATCTGTTTGTATAAACATTAATGCTTATTTGAACAGGCAGATTTACCCCTTGTACCCTACCTCCAGTTCTGCTTTGTGGATTAGGAGACTGGCCACCTGCATGTAGACATGCACAGTATACTCCCCTATATACCTCTATCCTGGTGAAATAAACCAAAAAATATCAGTGTTCTTCCTAGTAATCCATATATTGGCATTGCGAAGTCTGCCCAGATGGTATTTATCACCCAGGAAAAGCACAGCAGTGTGTTACAAGTGTGTGATCATGTGAGAAGGCCCTTTTTAGGACTTAATTACATTTGCCATTCTAAATAACACTAGGAAATATCTAGTGGTGAGATTGTTGCTTTTGTGTTTGGCTTCCTCAGGTGCAATGTCTAAAGCCGGGTATACACACTTCAAATTCAATGCAAGGGAGGGTACCACTGTCGGCACCTTTCTGACCAGCTTCCCATGATTAGCTGACGAGCATGTCGGAAAATTGTTGGCCGAACAGAACTAGCAGTCAATGAGCTGCCAGCTCTGTTGGGGTATAGTGACAGCGGCTGCTGTCGGCGTACATAGGAAACGGCAGGAGATTTCTCAATCAACTCTCGTAAGCGTTGATTGAGGAATCTGTTTTATTTTCTTTGAAGAAAATAGCATGTATACCTAACTTAAGTGGATCTGGGTATTAGACATTTTCAGTACATGTGGTGCTGAGCAGTGTACGCCATTACTATCACGCTGAGTCTAAGCTGCATCCCGCAAAGTATCTTTTGAGCATTAATATTTGTGTCCTCCAGAGAACTCTAGTCTGTTGTGGACACGTTAGAACAGTGCTAATGCTTCAACATGTCCTGGGCAGCAGACAGTTCAATGCTAGAAAGTTCGGCCAACAGTTTTCTGAACCTGTGCTCAACCCCAGGACTGGCTCTAAATAATCAGAGGTGATTGAAAGGAAAATCTAGTCCTTATAAGATTTCCCAGTACTGTATATCTGTATAGCGCCAGTTTATGGGCACTTTTTAATTTTTATTGTGAGTAGCAGAAGACTCTGCTGTAAAATGTTTCCAGTCAGTGAGTGAATATTTTCAGCCCTTTGATGTATTGATTCATAAGGTCCATTGCTGCACTACTTTTATATGCAATGGCTAGTTTGTGTCCAAATACATTTGGAACTAACATTATGAGCAGACAGGCTTCTGTGTCTGCAGCAGGCCCCAAACTTGGTGAAAGATATCTTTGAGCCTCCAAATGGTGCATCTGAAACAAAAGCTACACAGTAAATAGTCTGGTGTTTCCTTTTAAACATTTTCATGTCACCATTCAATGTAAAAGATTGTTCTGGTAGACACTTGCAGCCTTATTCAGACTAAAGATAATGTTCAGAGTGCAGTAAGCCATAGCAACCAGTGAAGGTTCATTTTGTGGTGATC